CATCTTGCACCATGACTCTGGTAACTTGCTGGTTTCCATCCCAGTGCTGCAGGCTGACTCAGCCTAAGATAACCTGGAGCTAAATGTGACTCATCCCACCACCACCTGGCTCCAGCTTTGGGGTATGTATGTCTCTTCCATCACTGCCCAGCCTAGCAGCATCCTTGCCTTCATATCTCCCAGGTCATGGGGTCTCACTAACTGGAAAGGTAGAAAAAATTTGAATTTATTATGGTGTAGATCTAACTCTCTACAAGCAGTGTATGCCAGCCATGGGTAAAGGAGTGTATTTCAACACAGTGCAACTGCATTTAAAAGGGTATTCCTGTATTGATTTTTGCCTGGTTTTGGTTTGAGTTTTGGAAGTCCTTGTTTTGTTTAATGCCTGTCTCCTAGACTCATGTGGTTATGCAGAAAATATTTGAAAAAAGGGGAAGGTTCAATTCATCCTGTCATGAAAATAACTATAAAACCTCATGCTTCAGAGAAGCACTCCGGTCTGAATAGCCAATAAAGGGGTGAGAAAATAAAAATGCATTTCAGTTGGCATCACTGTAAATTGATCAAATGAGCTGTAGACCGGGGTCAGTTTTCCTGAACCTGTCTGAGAGATATTTGTTTCTTTATGGGCAAAACCCATTCACACTCAGAAATAACAGCTCCTCTTGAGTAGTCCTGAGCCCTGAGCCAGTGCTGATCATGGCATATTCTTGTCTGCAATGCCTACAGAAAGGTAAGACAGGACCCACCCACCCTAACTTCAGCCATCTGGTCAGGTATGCTTTAACTAAGCTAACTGCCTGTCTGCCTGCTAAAATCTACTGAGCGATGCAGGCAACTTCAAAAGGTGACTCATCCCTCCCTTTAATAGGTGCCTAAGCTGGCTGGCATGAATAGCTCTCCATCTTTCTCCATTGAATACAGAAGGAGACCAGACTTGGCCTACGCATTAACCAGTATATGGCTAAAGTTAGTGAAGATAAATCCCATCTGCAGTTAGTGCTGGATCTGATAACTCAACAGCTAAACCCCCATTTGAAATGCAAGAATTGCTTTTAGAAATAGGTATCATAAACTTATTGATATCAGATGTTGTCCATAAATAGGCAGTTCTAAGGGGGGGCTGGGGCAGGGGGTGGGATGGTAACCCCTTGATTGTGAAATTACATGATTACTAAATGAATATGATTCTTCAGCAGGCTGTTTTTAATGTCAGGGTTGTGTTTCTAATGAAGGAAAACATGTTGTATCACTGATCCATATCACAGTGCCCATGCTGTCTGCTATCAAGAGAAGGCAAGCTCTAAACACAAGATCTCTCAGATTTTTATTCATACCTGCAGAAATAAAACCAGAAGGTTGTTCTTTTTTAAAATCAAAATAGTCTCTGTGCAGTGTATCTGATTCAAACCATATTGCTAGCAAGGTGGAACCTTGAAAACATTAAGATTTTTCTATGGTAAAAGTTAAAGATTAGAGGGCCCTGAGGAAACAGAACACATGGGCCAAAAGTTTGAAACCCAAATATTAAGGATAGTCAGCCAAGTCAAAACATTGGCATCTACATTAAGGGATTGTGAATTACAGAGGGACCGAGCACCCGCTGAGTCTACTTATTCCCTAGCACTTCTGAAAACTACTCCAGTTCTAATTAAATACCTTTATGTGGAAGAATGCTTCAATTTTGTACAAAGGAATACATGTGGTCCTTGCTTTACTACAGGAACCCCAAAAGGGGTTTGCCCCCTTATCTTTCTACACTGGAATGGGAAGAACAGTGAGAGATGCCTTTGGTGCTGACAAAGAGTTTTTTCAGTTGTATCAGAATTAACCCACCAGAAAAAAAACAAAACAAAACAAAACAAAAACAAAGAAGCAAGCAAGCAAATGAACAGAAAAACCACCAAAACCCAAAGAGGCCTATCACATAATTCACCAATGGTTCATCAAAAGAACTTTGGACGAACAGAAACCTTCCACCACAACTTCAGCAAGTTTGGAACTAAAAGCTTGTGATAGGCTCACCCACATAAGTTGCACAGTGAAAGGTACCTTTGGAATGCCATAGCTGATCCTGCCTGTGGCCCTCCTGGGGCTGACCTGGGAAATGCATTGGCTTGAATTAGCTCAAGGAACTGTTCTCATATTTCAAGTTTGAAAAAACTCACAACACTGAAGTAATTTCAAAACCAAAGCTTAACTCCTTTGAACGATAAAGAAAATCGCAAGGTACTCTGGATTATATCGTAAGAGAAAATAGGTGTCATATTTTAGGCTGAATTACAATCTTTATGTCCCATCCCAACAGAAACAAATTAATAACTGCTACTGGAGAGCTCAAAGTAAGTCTTCCTCACCAATGTCAGGAGGATCTTTCCTAAACTGGAAGTTGTGACAGCAAAATGTGCCATCTGCCCTTCTTCTGGATTTGCGCTCCTTGTGGGGTGAACAAGCATGAGGAATCTTCCATTTGGAAGACACTGGGCAGCTGTCCTTCTATTACTCTTCACGTAAAAGTGGAGGAGAAGCTTTTCCTTTCTTGGTTTAAAAAATTCTCTCAGCTAAGACCAATAATTTCTATTTTCCAGTGTAACCACAAGCCTGGGATTCTCTGCTGTTTCTGTCCTTTGCTGGACAGTATGGCTTTGGATAAGGCACAAAGGATTTGTCTGTATGCACCTTCTCAATTCACAGTATTGCCAAACACAACATCAAGGATGCCAGTCTTAGGGAAAGGCTCTTGAAAGTTAAGTACTGAGACAACTAACTTTTAAGACATGTAAATCCTTCACTGGAACTATGCATAAACCTCTCTAGCCTAACTCTTCATAGGTAGCTCATGAACTGGACCGTGTCTCATTTTTCATGTCTACTCTGAGACATCCTAGCCTGACTATCAGAGGTTTTCTATTGCCCATAAACCCAAAAATACATTTTGCTTTCAGTGTAGACAGAAATTGCCCTTCCTCTCAATCACTGAATGAGAGGAGCATTTCCAGACTCAAAAAGGAAAGTCTGTTCCTCTTTGTGGATATGCACATCAACATTCCTTTTCTATAAAACCAGTTCAGTGAAGGTATTCTATTTAATTTTTGTAATGTGAAGTTTAGTCTGTATTTACAAACCTTATTTTGATACTGGAATAAATTTGTGTTATTTTTAATTGTTGCTGCTCATATGGTGCCAGAAAATTAGATGGGACAGGGATTATGAATAACACTTTCACCTCCGAAAATGCAAAACCCATAAAATTTGACCAAACAGCAGTAACAGTAGTTATTACTGTTGCTTAATTGTTTGGTTTATGTGGTGCTGCCTGTGGTGCAGCACAATTAGAAAGGATGAAGTCCTGGTCACCTTGCACTTCGGAATGCTTCTGCTGTGTAAGAAGTTTTTGCTTTCACAATAACCCAGGAAAGAGCACCTAAAATGTTGGGGTTTGGCTATCAGGGGACTTCAGAACTGAATTTTAAGGTGTAAGTTTTTCAACACATTTAATCATTCTTCTGTTCAGAAGGCATAAGCAACTGAGGTGGATGAATCCCGTTTCCAAATGATTCAGGTCCTATCAAAGGTGTTTCAGATTTTATGTCAAAATAAAGAGGGATTTAGAAACTAAATATTTCAGTATGGGCTTTAAGACTGAGGTCTTTAATATACAACAAAGATCTTAGGCCGGTAACTCTAGTTTAAGCCTTTATCTTCCTATTGGTGTCTGGAGGAAATCAGGATCTCACACAGGAGTTGGTAGCCTAAACCCTTTGTATGAGCTGGGCCTTAGTAGGGGCAAATTTCAGGGTGAATGGATGTCAGTGACACTCAGATATTTAATCTGCCAAAGTCCCTTGGGTAAATGTAACCTGGCCACTTAAGTCACATAGGATTTGCCACCTGCAGAAGTGACATCCAAGGGCATTGGACAACCTGGACTGAAAAATACATCCAGCTTGAGTTGCCCATGAAAATACAGTTGTTTCTAGCCAAAGGCTACACTACCATTTTATGACTTGAGGTATGGGTAGAAGGATTTTTGTGCTTCTTTGGGACTCCCTGCCAACATGTATGTGCAGAAGACCTAAGTAAATACAGTAAAATTGGTATGTGTATTTGAAGACTTCGCTTGTATTCTGTACCTGTAACAGAAACACAGAAGCAGAATAAAGGAAAATTTCGAACCTAAAGAAAAATTTCTATCCTGTTCAGCAGAAATACCTGTATTCTCTGATTCTAACTTGAGCTCCTTACAGGTGGCAAGAACTGTAGCAAGGCAGGCTCCTATCGGGGCAACTAATGCAGTGCTTAAACAGAATTGAGGTGATCAAGTCAGAAGCTTCCCATCTGAACATGGACAGAGGCATGGCTGAACTGCCCTGTCAAAAGGGCAACATCATAACTGAACCGTAAAATTTAGCATGTGCTCAAAAATTTTGGAAACAGAAAGCTTCCTGGGATACGAAAGAAGCAGCAGAATTTTGGGGCCTGTAAGATGCAGCAGCTGTCTGGGGCCTTCCCTGATCTCCAAGAAAAGGGAAAGAGTGATCTATGTCGGATTGAGAGGGCCTCCTCCTTTCCATCCCCAGCTCGGTCAGGCTCTGCTGGGATTTATTCATTGCTCCTCCCTATCCTGCCCCCCTCCCAAAAAAACCCAGTAACTCTACCAGTTCTTCACAGTTACAACGACATAATAAATAAAAATAACACCGCAGAAGTTGAGGGGAAGCTCATGAAGGATAATCCCCTGGTCGGGTTACAAAGCAACTTTCGGGCAGGTTTTATGCACAGGCTCAGCGCCCTTCCTCCTGCCAGGGCCACCTCCCAAGAGCGCCAGCCCCTCTCTGCTCTGCCCTGGGCGGCGCGGCGCGGTCCGGCCTCCGCCTCCCGTTAGATGGCGCTACAGACTTTACAACCACGTGTGTGGAGGGGAGGAAAAAGGAATAGTAATTAAAAAAAAACAAAACACTCTTATTGTCCGAAACGGGGGGATCTGGCACCGTGGAGGGATGCCCGTTTCCCGCGGGGAGCTCTCGAGGCCGCCCTCACCCTCACGGAGGCTGTCGGGGATCGGCCCCCAGAGACGCCCAGGGCAAACCCAGGGGCAAGTGGACGAGCCGGGGCCCGGCGTAATCGTCCCTCCTACCGGGAGAAGATCCTGCCAGGGCCGGGGAGGGGGAGCCGGCCGTTTCCCAGCCGGGGAGCTGGGCGAAATCCACGGGCAGTCTCTCGTCCCTGCCCCGCGTTATTTCTCCTTTCCAAAAATCTGCTCATGGAATCTCCACAGCCTGCCTGGGGTCTGCTGGCTGGCTATTTAATCAGTCCCCTTTCTTCCCCCCAGACACTTTTTCTTCTTGTTTGGAGTCGCGCGTTTCCCCCCTTGGTAGAACCCCGCAAGTTTTCGGCAGCCTGTCGGGGGCTGCCGCGGGGCTGCCCCAAGTGCGCGGCTCTGTCCCTTGCGCACAGAGGACAGGAGAGAGTGGGACAGTGTATGAAACCGCTGGTACGCAACTCACTAAGCCCATGACCGACCCGCCAAAGCTTCTTTCCCCGGTCCCCAGCCGAAAGGCGGCCGGATGCCCTCAGCCCTGTCTCTGAGCATGTAGGCGACCACGTTGAGAAGGGGTTAGGGCTGGCGCAAAGGCCACCCCCGCACCCCCCTCCCGTGCCTACCGTCGGGCCGTGAACTTTCCAGTGGGGTAAGTTCTCCTTTAAGAAAGAGAACTGTTCCTTATGCATATTTAAGACTGTTTGTCTGCAGTGCCCAGCTGACGCGGGGCTGGAGGCTCACAGTCAGGACCCGAGCTCTCGGGGAGTAAATCATCCCAGTTTAAAGGCACTCTCTGCCAGGGCTCCAGTTGGGAGCTCCTTGCCATTGCTCTAAACACATGTAAGTTAGAACGGAGGGGGAGGGGGTTGGAGGGCTGGGAGAAGGAGGAGGGAGGCTGAGTCTAATTAGGGAGATGTGCAAGGTATTTTGGTCATTCCAATCACCAACGTCCCCTCCCAAAAACAAACAAAAATAAACCATTTAATCAAGAAATCTTATCCTTGGACTTTTAAAATGCTTTATTATTATTATTATTATTATTTGTCGTCCGGCCTAGGGATTTATGCCCCACTCAGCACGCCTGTAACCCTAAGGCAGCCGAGCAGTGGGGGTTCGAGGCTCCCTCCCTCCTGTTGCCCTTCACGAGAGCGCTTTTCTGGGCGCACAAGTGTGTGCGTAAGGAGCGGAGAGGAGCACCGAGAGGGTAAGTGAATCCCTTGCTTCAGCCAGGGCGAGCAGGAGGAGACCTCTCACGTCACCCGCGGATCAGAGGGCTCCTCCGTCGCGCCGAGGGTGGGATCCCGAGAAGCCTCTTCAGCCTGCAGCGAGCGGGGGGAGCCTCCTGGGGATGCGAGCGCCTTGGAAAAGCCCCCTCCACGGCTAGGCACCCTGCCACCTCCGCGCGTGTGTACTTCTGTAAGTGTGTGCGAAACGACGAAGTGTATGTGAAGGTCAGGCGGGCGAGCTTCCACTGCAGCTCAAGTGGGAAGGAGCAACTTTCAGTGCTGTGCTCTTAGCGGTTTCCTGCCTTTTAAAGTGAACTTGTTCGAGTGTGTTGTTCAAAATGTGGTTCAGTAGTTATGCCTTCAAATTAAGTTGCTTCTCAGTCCTCACTGGGAAAAGCAGACATGTGTCCTCAATTGTATAGTATATATAAAAAAAAAATCTACTAGGTACTTTATGATTCCATCTGGAGAAATTAAAAGCCCAGAGCTGTAATGTTTATTCTTACATAGTTTACAAAAAAAGGGGGAAATGTGTGAGACACATGTCTCCAAATATAACCAAAGTGCTTTCCCTTCTGGTTAAAAAGTTGCATGCGAATGTTTTCATTTTAGCAGTCCCTGCCACCTGTACTTTTTCAGGGAAACTTTTCTTGGCGTTAGTGGTGAAGCACCAATAGTACTTATTAATGAATTAATTATTATTATGGCTGCTGAACTGACTTGAAGTGCTTTGAAGGCCAAACTACTCCACGTTAATCAGTTAAAATTAATTGTGTTTCAGCTGTTGTTTTAAACACGGTTTCAAAGACAGAGACAAGGAGGCTGTGTATGGGGTGTAGGGCAGGGGAGTGATCCGGAGACCCATCCCAGCCCATGGCACCGAGCCCATGGCTCAGAAGTTTCCTTTTGGGTTGCGAAACAGGCGCAACGTTGTCTCGCCTCGGGTGACACAAAGGTCCGAGGGGGAACTTGGGTGACAAACACCTCTTTCTCCCACCGGGAGGCTGCAAAGGTTAAGGGAGTCCTGGGCTTAGGAGGGCAGGCCCTTGCTGTGCCATCTTTGCTTGGCCGCCTTGTTCAGGGCTTTTTGTTTCTGACGGAGCGGCGAGGCTGAAAGGCTCCGCAGAGCCCACTCGCCCACTCGCGGCGGGGGAGGCGGGGGCTGCAGCCACTGCCCAGGAGGGTATGGGGGGAGAGAAGAAAAAAGCCCCACGAGGGGACAAGAGGCAGCTGAGCCGGGCTCTATGCGTGCCAGGGAGGCCAGAGGGGCGGCCACAGGGCTGAGGGCAGGAAAAACCGGGCCGGGCAGGCAGGCAGCCGAGATGCCAAGGGGATGGTCACCCTCTGCCCTGCCGCTCTCCGGTTGCTCCTCCATCGGCGAGACCTAGGTGGTAGGGGTACCGGGCTCAGCGGTGCGGCGGCTGGGAAAGCTGGGAAAGTGTGCCAGGGAGAGGAGTTGAGAGAGTAGGGCAAAGCCTGGGAAAGACCCCTGGGGCGATGTGCAGGGGGGAGGCCCCAGGGCCGCCGTTTGGCCAGCTGGTCGCAGGGCTGCCCGTGTTTGCCCAGCACTGCGGCTGCAGGGGAGTATCCCCCCCCACGAGGGGTGGAATGCGAAAGTGGGGTGGGACTGTCTCAGGTGGACCAGGTGAAGACCGGGATCGAACCGTCGGAGCTGGGGTACGCGCACAGACTGCTCGCACTCTCAGTGGGAGCTGGTGGCGGGGAGGGGCTGGAGCCCAGCTGCCCCTCTTCTACCAGGGAAATGATCTTTTCCCCAACGATAACGACCCTCTTTCACAAAGTTAGGGGCGGGCGAGAGGGAGAGACGGCGATTCCTCCAGGGCTGGACGCCGCACCCGAGCCTTGCCTGCCCCTCGGTCTCCGGCGGCCCCGGGGGGACGAGTCTGTCCCGGGGGGCACTGGACGTCACCAAGGATTTCTGTCCTCAGAAACTTACACTTCACAAAAGTAAAGCTCTCCCTCGATCCGGCCTTCAGTGTGTATTTTGTTTTGTTTGCTTGTTTGTTTTTAATGCCAGTCCGCAGAATGGCAATTGGAAAAACTGTATGCCCACCCTTTCTCTCTGGAATTGGGTTGCTGGGGGTTTTTTTCCGTTTGATTTTTTTCCCCCTTTTCTCAGAGGAAAAAGCTCTTTCTCAAAGATTCCCTTCTTTTCTCTCTCTCTCTTTTCCCCCCTTTATCCCATCCCAAAAGCTCAGCTTTTGCTTAAGACAAAAGGACAAGGAAAAAACCAAACAACCCAACCCCTATACGTGCTAACAGACCTTTCTTGGAGAGAAGTAAAACAAACAAAAAACTTCTACCTGCAACAGAAGAGAGGGTACAAAATTTCACACGCACACACCCCCTGGTCCTGTATCGAATACAGACAGCTGTAATTAATTGAAAATTGAGGGAAGAGATGTGTTTTCCACTTGGGAACATAGTAACTAAGGTGCAGAGGGCGGTCGGGTAGGTAGGACACCTCGTTCCGGCTCATCACGCGTGGAATCGTTCCTTCCAGCTGGGATGGGTGCTTGTGCAGATCTCGTAGAGGTGCAGGAGACAAATTCTCAGCTCTCATATATCACAAAAGCACGATGCGTTAGATGAAACACGTATTAACCAACTTTCTCCCTCTCCCTCCCTAGTTTTATTTGTTTCCCTTGGTTGCGGGACCTAGATGGTCAAAACCAAACAAAAGCACTTGCGTTTGAGTCGGCACTTTGTCGTCGGGGCAGCACACGCGCGTTAGATTATTGCCAGGGATTTATTTGCATGCAGCTGCAAACCCACAACCCGGCTGCTGACCGCTGCGCATAAAGGGCTGCTGGGGCCGGCCCCTGCCCGGCCGTCGCGACTCCCGGCGGGAGCGCGGCCCTGGGACCGGGGTGAGGGGAGGACTTGGGAGGGGGCTTACTCCCGACACGGTCTGGGGGTGGTCACAGAGCCCACAGCAGCAGGGTCCCCAGCGCAGCCAGAGGCTGCAGGTGCGAGGGATGGGGGGGAGTCGGGGGCAGTCCCAGCCTGCAGCCCCCCTCCCCACTACCCGGCTTGCCCCCAAAGGCAGCCGCAGCTCCCGCTGGCCTTGCTCGCAAACACATCCGGGAAAAGCTTTCCCTAATGCATATGTCCTGGGAAAAAAAGAACCGGTGGCAGATCCTCGGGATTTCCCAGAGCTATTTTCAGTGCTTTGAAAATTTCAGTAATGTTGATGTTCTTCCCCCACCCTCCTTCTCCCCTCTCTTCGGCCCAGCAACGTTTGACAACCTTTGAAGCAAAGGCTTTAGATTCGAACTACCTCTTTCGTTACCCCTGTAAGACTCCCCTCTCCCCCCATACAGACACATTGAGAGGATGAATTCGGAGGCATCTGGGATCTGTCTCCTCAGGCCTCCCTCCACCTCGGGCTTTGTCACTAGGTCTCCTTCATCTTCTCCTGGAGACACAGGCGAAGGCGCAGGGTTCCCAGGGCTTGAACTTGCTCCCCTCCGAATGCAGCGGGAGCAAAAACTGCCTCCGAAGCGGGAAAGGATGGAGTCAAACCAAGCCCTGTATACTTGGGAGGGGGGGGGGGGGGGATCTTCTCTCCGTCCCTCTGTTCCGACGGCCAGCATAGGACTGTAGGAGAAAGGGGAAGATGAAACTCGGTTCGGGGAACTTAATTATTTTGGCAGAGGAAAGAGATGTTCGCACTCCAGGCAGGCTTCTTCGGCTGCGCGTGAGCAAGAGGGGCTGCTCCGAGCTTCTCTGCCAAACAGAGGGGGATACAGAGCAGGAGCTGCCCGGCAGGGAGGGCCAGGCCGGGAGGGCCCCTCCGCGGGGAAAACCGTTCCGGGAGGGCGAAGCTGGAAGGACAATGAAGATACACAGACACACACACACAGGGACACGTTCGCCCCCCGCCTCCCTCGCATCCCCGCGGCGGTGCCTGGGGATGTCGCGCTGCCCCTTGGCCACGCCACGCCACCGGGAGGGGGTGAAACCCTCCCTCCTGCTGACAGGCCAGGGGGGACGGGCAGGGCTGGGGAGGTCGGAGGGCAGCCTACCCCGCCGGGCCGCCCTGTCTAACGCGGAGTCCCCCGGGTGCGGCCCGGTCTCTGGAGGGACACGACTGGGCTGCGCAGGCACAGGAGCGCGCACCCCCCTCACTCCCCCGCAGAGCACAGAGGGGATGTCTCAAACCCCATTCCCTCTGGAAACTGGGGAATACGAGGCTTGGGGTGCTTGCGCAAACTGGGATACTCCTCTGGGTTGCAGCGGGCAGCGCTTGTGGGGAGCGGGTCAGTAACGCGAGTGGTCAGGAAAAGCGCGGGGAAAAGCAGGAGGGGATGAAACCATTCGCAGGCTCCTTGCGGAGCGGGGGTGTGTTGTCATCTTTGTTTTGGTTCTGTTGTTTTGTTTTCCAGGAGATTGGGACAATAGCTGGAGTGGATTATGCATTCCCGTAGGCAATACTTCCCTATATGAGCTTCAGGATGCAGTTGGAAGCTCGGGAACAAAGCGGGCATCGAATGTCAAGGTAACTGGTCCCCTTCCTTTGTTTATGCTATTGTTAATGACGGGGCTCACTCAGCCCTGGCCTCAGCCGTGCTGTATGGCATTAATATTGACTTGAGAGAATAGGCAGGGCAATTAAAAAACAAACCCCAAACCCAGAACAGCAGCAGCACCCAGCCCAAGCCCAGTTCTTCAGGTAAAACATGCTTCTTCTGGGCTGCTGACAATGATATTGTCATCTCCCCTAGTATTCACAGAAATACACATAACATTTGAAAGATTAAACATATCTGTATCCATCATTAACACCTAGGGGAGACAACGTAACCCTGTTCTTCAGTCCAAAATCAAAAGGGAAAGGGCATTACCTTCCAATACCCAGTATTACAGCATGAGGGAATTCTCATCATGATAAAAAAAATTTAAAATTAAAAATCTAACAAAATTATTCTTTTAATCATGATAATCTAAAAGTAGCAGAAACCAGAGTGTTTATTGACTCATTTTTCTTCTTCTCGAGGTAGTGGATGGTATTTAAAGTTCATCATTTCAAACATCTCCTTTTTAGTTTAATTTCCTCAACAATCTAGCAATTTCAGAAAACTGAGTTAAAAATTTTGGTACACATCTGAATATGGATCTGCATAAAATAGAGAGGGTGGGAGAACTGGGGAGAGTATGTTTTATTATTTTAGGAAGAGAAGGGAGTGTAGGTTTGCATGTCTGTGAGGATGCATAGGTGTGTGTGAGAGAAAAAAATTAGAGATTTGCACCTTGCACGTGGTCTGTAGCTTTAGTGTGGATGCTGGAACAAATATCCATTACAGTTCTCTGAGAAATGTCACACTCGGGCAGATAGACCCCTGTTTTGAATGAGAGTTCCAGGAGATGAAAGAAATGTATGTTACTCCAGAACAATTTTTTTTATTATTATTATTTTTTTTTTTTTTTAGGAAAGATTAATCTCAGCTCTGCTATTCTGGGCCCATTTTCTGTCAGGCAAGGGATATAATAATGATCTATGCCCAGCACTTCTCATATCTTTTGTACTTGGTAAATATTCGCAACGTCTTGAATGTGGAGGGGAGGTGAAGATATGAGCCCAAACTCAGCTTCAGAAGATCCTCACTGCACTCACGCAGAGGTGGGAAAAAAACAAACAACCAAACCAACCTTTCAGAAGACCCTCCAGTCCACAGCTCCCTACAGCCATGCACTTACTTTTTGCATTTTATCTACCTGCTTGGTGAAGTGGTCTAAAAACTTCAGGCTACCTGGGTTTTTGTGACCAGCTCAGGGTGTACATTAGTACTCTGGTTGAAAATGGAGCCTGGAGTTGTTAAGCAAACAGTTCCTGCTTGCCTGTAACACGGACTGAATGCTGTATAGTCAGCTTTATGGAGCGGTGGCAGGGAAGTAGCACCAAGCATTTCCAAAACTAATAACAAAAAGGTTACTATATATAAAATGTTTATACATCTCACATTCCCTCAAGTTGTTTAAATTTCAGTTTGATGCACATAAATATAGCAGCCATACCAGGTTCCCCATTAGCCAGTCCCTGCTTTTTAAAATCAATTCATTTCAATTTGAAAGAATGGCCCAATATGCAAGACAGTCAACAACCCTCTGACTTTCTCCACTCAGTGTGGACCTCAGGAAGAAATAGCATCTATCTTTGTCATTTCACATGCTATTGCAGTGCCTTGACACTGTTTTTTAAGAGCAGGCCTACTACCAATGAGGGTAACAGTCCCCAGCTGGTTCCCTTTTTCTAATCCATTTTCCCCTTTCTCCTTTTGAGAAGAAATAGTTCTGCTGAGCCCCCAGGTCTGGACTTCGGGGAGCATGGCACAGTGGTCTGATATAAAAGCACTGTCACTGTGTGTGGAAACTCTCCTCTGTACTATGAGCCTTGCAAGAAATGCAGCGAGGGGACACTTGGAGTAACCACACATCGGGCATCAAGCAACAACAATCCACTTCACACTACTGTGGAGGAGTTTGTTCCCAAACCAAATACTTTGTGGTGCTCAGTGCTGGTGTCAAATTGGTTTGAACTGTCCCAAGTCTAAAATAAAGATCTACACTGTGGTATACCAGTGAGTTTTTCTTGCTAAACCTTCCCTGCTTGTATTGAAGGTATAGAGCTGATGTAATACTGTCTTTTCCCCCCACGGATGGGTGCAATAGGAAAAGTTCAGAAAAGTTCTGTTTATCTTCTAGTTGAAGAAATGCAAGCTATCAGAAACAAACCTAAGTTTGAAGGTACAGTTTTCAACCTGTGAGTTGGAACTATATGCACTGGCACTATTCAACTGCTCTGTAAGGGCTGCGTTCGAATTTTGGCTTTTAATCTCAACTCTTAGACAGAGATGCGAAATGGAAAGGAATCAGATTATTTATGCTGTAGCCTTGTGATACACATCCTATAACCGTTGGGGAGAGAAGAAAAACACTCTGCTAAAGCTTTGGGTAAGCCTGAGTTTCAGGGGACTCTAGTCTTCACAGGTTCTTACTTCATTGCCTTTCTTCCATTAGTATTTGTTATATGGGATTTTTTTTCCTGCTTTCTGTGTTTTAAAGTGAGTAGAGACTAAATCCTGTGGAGAGAGTGAGCTCCCTCCACCACAAACTCACATTTGGAAAATGCCTACCCCTTTTGACTACCCCCCTTCTAGTCATCCTCCCCCTTTCAGGGAAGAAAAAAAAACTTTAAAAGAGAAAGAGAGAAGCAGGACTGGGGAGGACGGGGCAACTCCTGATTCCTCAGTGATCTGCACAGCTGGGACAGACCTCCGAGTTCCCCCTCGCCTCCTGCAGACAAGTCCCTTCGGAGAAGAAACCCCATGCCTGAACTTTTAACGTGGCTTGGGGTTTATACAATTCTGGCTCCATTTCAGAAGTCTCGAAAGGAGAAAAAAAAACAAACAACCAACAACAAAAGAAACAAAAAGGGAAAAGAAAGTTTGGATTTAACTCTTTGTTGCTAAAAAACCCACCACAACCAAACCCCCAGCCATTAGCAAGAGCGAGCAGCGACCCTGGCAGTCGGCGCCCGGTCCCGAGGCGGCCCTCCCCGCCACACAATGCCGATGGCCGGCAGGGAGAGGCAGCCCCAGCCCTGACTGCCAAGCACCTTGCGTGCAGCCGAGCCCCGGAGCTCCCCCCGCTGTCCCATGGAAGGGGCAGCACTTCTTCCGAATACCGCGAGGGAAGGCAACCCTGCCTGGGGGCTGCGGGATTGGCAAGGAAGTTTTTTGGTACTGCTAAAGGCATATACACACACACACACAAGCATATATATCTATCTATATCATACACACACATCTTTATATATAGATTTATATGTAGGTGTCTAGTCTATGTTTAAATTGTTCTATCTATACACACAGTCCTCCCCTGATGAGGTCATTCTCCCATATATACGAGATTGGGTGCATGGTGCCAGAATCTAACTCCAAGATCTTATCTCTGGCGATCTGAAAGCAATATAAAGTAAATGTTAGCAGAAGGGGAAATAAATTTTGGAGAGAAACATTCAACAAGGTGTCCCTGAAGGCTTTTCCCCCGCCCTCCCCAGCCGATGTACCCACGCACTTTATGCCGAAGAGAGCCATTTCGGAGCAAGAGACTCCTGCTTCAGAGCAAGCATAGGCTGCACCCCGCATCGTGGGTCTCTGCCTGGCTGGGGCTGCACCTTGACAATTTTTATCCTCTATTCCCTTTCCTGAGCGATGCTCTCCTCTCTAATGCGCTAATCGGCTGCAGCTTATTTATTTTTTATTTTTTCCCCTGTGGCTCCAAATGTCTTAATGTTTTTGATTTCAGGAAACTCAAAACGGAAGGAGGGATGCTACTTGAAAGTGTGACTCAAAAAAAGAGGTTTCGCTTTGCAGCCATCAGTAGCACCAGGAGACAGCTCCATTAAAAAAGTAGTTTTCCACTGCTCTTGAAAAGCCGTTATTTTTTACATCGCTTTTAGGAAGATAGATTAACAAAACATCACATTTCAAGCCACTCTGATCTGTAATTAAATGGAGGAGCCCGTTTGTATTCTCCTATGGCTTTTACAGAAGTTGCAGTGATCCAAAGTCAGGTTGCTGTGTCAGAGTGGCATTTTTATTAATGAGAATACAAAAAGCTTGCATATTCTTAGCCCGGCTTGAATTTAGTTGCTAAGCAACCGCTGTATGGTAATTCATCCGCGAAATTTAAATCTTGGAGAAAGGATCCTGCGTTTTGCTGAATGGTCGCCACGAGGAAAACAACTTGTGGGACCCGCGGCAGCTGCCGCCGCGCCACCGCGCCGCCCGCCCGCCCGTCGGCTCCCCCGGGCCGCCCGCCGCCCCGGGACGGCCCGCGGGGAGGGAGCGCAGCCGGGAACTGGCGGCCGCCCCGTCGGCGCTGCCCCGGACCTGCCTCCCACGGGTGGGGAAACGCGGCGCCAGTGTTTCCCCGTGCGTGGAGAGACCCGGGCCCGGCCGCAGCCGCCCTGTTCGAGGGGGGGGGGGGGGGGGGGCAGGTCCCAGGGCGGCCCCGGAGGCGAGGCCCCATGAGCACCTCTGTAGACCCGGCTGCTCCTTTGGTGTCGGAGAGGACGGGATGGGCGGCGAACCTTACCCCGCTCGGCCTTCACTCCTTAGCTTTTTGTGCCGCCAAAGCCTCTCAACCAAAGAACTCCCTACTGCTGTGTCATTGACACTGCGGGGCCGCTCGCCCTCCTCTCCCCTCGCTCCCGCCGCCTATTGAGCGCTGCGCCCGTTCCATTGTGCCAAACTGCAACTGAAAACACCGATAGGGCAATAACCACCTCCCTGCATCTCCTCCACTCGCTCCATCCATCCATCCATCCCTTTCGCCTCAGGCGACCAAGCTCCTCGCCAACTCTGGCTTCAGCAAAATAGGTCCCTGTCCTGAAGCGCTTGCCCCACACCTGCCTCCGAAGCCGGGACTTGTTGCATCCCTTTTGGAGTTGTACTAATTACCCTGGAACTTTAACAAACTAAAGTATATGTGGGGAAGAAGCTCACGCCTACAGTTTGGTCCTGCAGCCTGCCAGTTACAGAGGTAATATTTACACTCGCTTCCAAATTGGAACGAGCATCTCTGCGTCTCAGAAACGTATCTCTGTATAAATATATAGAAGTATCGATTTTGCTGTAGCTTGAAGATGTTGATCATTTATTACAAAAATAAACGAATAAATACAACAATATATTGTTGCTTTCAACAGGATAAATATTTTACAAATATATAATTTAAAAAAACAAATTTAATTGTTAAAATTATTTAAAATAGTACACTTATTGATAAAATTATCAATAGTATATACTGCATTTCATATTAGAACCAATTATTCTCTAAACGTTCCATTTAAAACCATTCATACAAAACAAATTATGAGCATTGTAATGTGCAAACACGAGTCACTACAGTAAAGCAAAGGGTTCTGTAAAGATCACTTTCCGATAGGAACTGCTTGGTTTTAAAACCGAAGTAGAGCTCTTTGCTAAATTTCGGAAAATATGCGGACCAACAGCAGTGAGATGACTATTTTGAATACACCTGAAAATGATTTATTGTGTACAGACTCGACGGGGCAAGGATAGGATGTGAGAAGACTGGGGCGTAGTGAAGGATCACAGGATATGAAAATGTAAACTATAAATAATCACATCTCGGGATTACCCAGTCTGACCAAACATAACTTTGTAAAACATTTGGCTTTCCTTTAGGTAGGAAAACAAAACAAAACAAAAACAAAAGCAAAACCAAAAACTAAGGAAAATGATGCCGACTCCATTACCAAGCACAGAACACTGATATTATAAATGAATACAATTACTAAATTCATTAAGAGATCTGGTGATATATAACAATATTTTCATTATTTACACGTGTAACAATATAACCCTTAGCGCAGACCCTCTCATTTATTATCTATCTCTTGCTATCTCAGAGACTCACAACCCTGAAATTCCTAAATACATTCAAAGGATTCAGTTTCTCGGGGGCGGGGGAGGGGACGGAGGGGTGGCGGGGGGTAGCGCCCATGGCCTCACTTTTTGTGCATAACAAGTCCACGGAACAGGGACATTTTGCCAGTCCCTTCGAACACACGTTACTCCTCCAGCCTAACCCCCAGCTTTTCGGAGGCAGCAACCCGCAAAGGTTGCCTTTTAATAGAAACCAGCGTGAAGCCTAACGTTAGCTCTTTGTTGCCATCCAAATCGAGTAACCAAATACCGCTCCGAAATTTAAATAGACTTTCTCCGCGGCTAATAAAACCGCTCCCCTTCGTGTGTGAAAACAGGATCCCACCTGACGTGTCGGTGGTACCCGGCCCCCGGAGGGGGGCCCGGCCTGCCCGCCTGGCCGCCAGCCCCCGCCCGACCCTTTTTCCCTGCCCAGCAGCAAAATCAGCCAGCAGCTTCTGCTAAAACGAACAAAAGAAAGAGCGTCCTTTACCCTTTCGGGTTCTCTTTCCCTTTGTTGGTTTGGCTTCTCCCCACCCCGCTTTTTTTTCCTCGGTGTCAGTAGGGCCTTTTGGATTTCACAAATCAAACCGACGGTGATATTTACTACGAGCTGGTGTTAAAATAATGCATCCCGGTGCCCGGCTCTCAGGTTGGCTTTGATTTATGGACTGACACAAGGCCTATCTGAAAGGAAGAAATGCTTGTTGTTCCTGCAGCAGTTTTCTGGGGGTTTAACCCCTGCCTCAATAGCACTTAGAGAAGCAAGGGGGGGGGGGGGGGAGGGGGGCGCGGAGAAGGGAGGAAGAGGAAGGTGAGGAAGGAGCCCAGGGGTGAGCTGGATCATAAAAGAAAACCTTATTCTCCAGCAGACTATCAATGGGGTCAGGTGGATGCAGTAGATGCAGCTCTCTACTTCCCATAACCTCCCCGCTGCAAAACGAAGAGAGTTGAGACGGTCATTCACTTGTCCCTATATTGCAATAAATTATAGCGGATAAGTATGACAGGTCAGCTAGTGCATCTATTGGCATCTCCAACGTTACTGACACACGCGTGTGTTTGCAAAGAAGGTATGGCAGCGCTATGGCAGAGTGGAGGAGAAAACTAGGCTACACCACTTCACACCCCATAGAAAAACCCTAAAACAACAACAACAACAGCCACAGCAACAGCAACAACAGAAATGGTGAACTAGGCAGACTGCACGTAGGATGCTGAAAGTATTCTATATATTCAGTCAGAAAAAAACCCGAACGTACCTTTTTTTTAAATTATAAAGACAAATTAAATACAAATATTAATACATACATAAAATGCATAAAAATAAATTATAGCTTAGCCCCCCTTCCCCTTCTTTGCCCTCCCAAGCCTCAGTTTGGAAAATGAGAAAACAATACTGAACTTTTGGAAACATCCCTCTCAGCACCGGCCACGCGGGACCAGAGGACACGCTCAGGTATCACCCGCGCCCAAGTGCCAGCCTAAACTGAGCTGACACAGCCCTTTGTGGGAGAAGGTGGTCTTTGGTGATCTCTAGTCTCGCCGTCCTTCCCGGTGACACAGGGTCCCCGGGCTGATGGAAGGGGCCGCGGACACGGGCTCGGAGGAGGGGTGGGCAGGGGGTGAGCCCCGCGCCGGGCCGGCAGCGGCAGGGGCACTGCCGGCGAGCACAGGGCCGTGCGGCCGGCAGATCGGACCCTCGGTATTTCTCTCCTTTCAGCAGTATATCCCTTCAGAGAACTTTTTTTTTTTTTTTTGACATGTTTATGCATCAGACACAGACTATTTCATTCTAACAAATTTATTTTCTCAATCAGCTCTTACGGAATCACTACTCAAATTAAATTACAATCAAATTATCACATCAAAAGATACCCTTATTACCTAACAACTGTCCATATTTTCATTTCATTTTGATTTGTGCTCGTCTGAAAAAAACACGTAATACAAGATCTGGGGAAAAAATAAATTACCGTTTTGCAGCAGTTCATAGGTATTCTGAATAAAATATTAAAAGAAGTCATTTAATGAAAATATAAAGCAAATTTTTTTTTTTAGATCAACAACGGATCTAACAATTCTATATTGCCGTCTTTTTGAAAAGTCTGTTTATTAAAACCTACCAAAAACACTGCTTGGAAATGGCAGTATTATATAATCACATCCACAGCACCCATTCAATCAAAGTTGGCAACGGATTTAGGAGAGGAGAAGTTCAGATAAGTGCAGCTGCAGATGCTCAGTCCTTCTAAATCCCTTTATCTGAATCAGTCCAGAAATAAAAAATAAAAATATTAATAAAAAAAATATTAGCAGTGGATTTTTTTTTTAATGACTCTTCCATGATGATTGGCAGCCGTCAGGAACAGGACTTTGACAGCCCTAAATTATTTCCCTTTCTCTCGCTGGTTCCCTTAATTCATGCAAAGTCCTTCTACAGAGCTCGAACTTTAGGTACCAACAACATCTCCTTCTCCCACCCTCCCCCCGGCGTCTGTCCCTCCCCCCTTTCTCCTCAGGGTCAGTTTTATCGGCGTGCGGGCATTTATTTCCATATTTTTGTTCTATAGCTATACCTATATATATAGATAAATATATATATATGTATTTGCTTCCCTATTCAGCCTGCTTGTTTTTAGTGCTGTGTGCATAATTTTTTTCCTGGAAAAAGTGTCCCGTTTCATTTTGCAGAATATAGAGATATATATGTTTTCAGAGTGGATGTCTGCCTTGCACCAAAATTCTACGGTTCGGCCAAGAAAAACAGGGTGCTGGAATGCAGCAGGCACCCTCTGATTAACCAGATTATTTTGCTTCTGCTTCCCTTTTTTTGGATTGCTCCCATTGAAAAAAAAAAAAAAAAAGAAAAAAAAAGGGAAAGAGAAAGGAGAAAAAAAGTTTCCGTGATTCATAGAAGAGAGCCCTTTTGGGAATAGGGGGAAGAGTGCGAGGAGGGGGGAGGAGGGGAGAGAAGAGGTGCAGGAAGTGGTGTTCCTTGCTGTGACAGGGGTATAATTTGGAGAAAAAATTAAAATAAAATTAAAAAAAAAATTCCCAAGCCCACCCATCCAAGCCCTCTCCCCACAGCCAAACAACTCCCCGGCACATCTGCAGTTTTGGTGCATTATGCATCTCCACCCCGTTTTCCCAACACGGTCTAAACGCTCTCACTCGGATCGACCTTCTCCACCGCTCCCTATTGGTATCGATCTTATATATATATAGATGCACGCATATATCCATATATATATAAACACAAGCAGTCTGAACGAGCCTGGATCGTGTGTGTGTGTGTGTGTGCGCGCATGTGTGTGTGTGTGTG